ACTTTTCCCTTTGTTCCTTCGTCCTATTGTTAATCAAGGCTGTCATTCCTGTGCGGTAGATGGGAAGTGCTGCAATGTCAGAGATCACATCTTTCACATCAGATGCTAAACAGTGGCTCTCTCTGCCCCTTCAAACATAAAAGAAGGCATGTCAGTATTTCAAGGTAGAGCAGAGTTCTTCCTGATGTCCAAGCCAATATTTATCCTTTATATGGGTTCAAAACCAAAAAGTCACCAGAATATACCCACCGATGGAGTTGAAAACCTGTGATAGATTATGATACTCACCACAAATGTTTTAAATTATAAGAGAGGTGCCTAGAAGGAAGCCTAGGTGAAAGCTGAAAGAGATCTAGGAGTAATGAAAAGTATCAATATTGATGATGCCTAGACTTGCTAATGCGCAAACTATGACAGAACGGGAGAAAGGCTTGTCCCAAACAATAGTGATGCCATGTGGCTCATATTATCCTTTCAAATCCATGAAATTTCCTGGCACTTGTAAAAGTATGGAATTTCTTGAATTTGACTCATGGCAATGAAACAATAGCGAAAGAGTTCAGAGTTATGGTGTGTAGTTTGGAGGCAGTGGTGTTCCCATACATATGCTGCCCTTGTCCTTCGAGATGGTTGAAGTTGTGGCAAAGTATCAATCTGAGGCCATGGTGCTGAAGCTGCTTCTTGTTGTGCTCAGGACGCCCCTTGAAAACATTGCTCAGTTTTGATCTTTGATGTTCAAAGCACTAAAACACACAATGCCTAGATTCTTCACTCTTCAGCTGGATATGAAGCAATCTCAGACATTTCCATACCAAGTGGAATGTAGACAGTGTAAACCTGCGCCACCATTTCAGGTTAAAGCCGGGCTGTAGCGGAAGCCTGGTAAACAGAGATTTCAATAAAAAGCAAAATACTGAGGATGCTGGAAATTTGAAACAGAAGAGCAAAAAATGCTGGAAAAACTCAACAGATCTGGGATTACTCAGCACCCCGCCCCCCCCCCCCCACCCCACCACAAACTCCAATGCTTTTATCAAGAATCTATCTACCTCAGCCTTAAAAATATTCAAAGACTCTATTTCTACCATAAGATATAAGGGCAAAATTAGGCCATTTTGTCCATCGTGTCTGCTCTACCATTCGATCATGGCTGATGTTTCTCAACCCCATTTTCCTGATTTCTCCCTGTAACCCTTGATCCCCTTCTGAATCGAGAACCTATCTATCTCTGTCTTTGACAATCAATGACTTGGCCTCCCACAGCCTTCTGCAGCAATGAGTTCCACAGATTCCACCACCCTCTAGCTGAAAAAATTCCTCCTCGTCTCAGTTCTAAACTATCGCCCCTTCATGCTGAGGCTGTGCCCTTGGGTCCTAGTCTTTCCGACTAGTGGAAACATCTTCTCCACATCTACTCTATCCAAGTCACTCAGTATTTTGTAAGGTTCAATGAGATCTCCCCTCATCCTTCTAAACTCCATCAAACACAGACCCAGAATCCTCAACCACATATATGACACGCTCTTCATCCCTAGGATCATTCTTATAAACCTCCTCTGTATGTCCTCCAGGGCTAGCACATCCTTCCTTAGATACAGGACCCAAAACTGCTCACAATGTACCAAATGTGGTCTGACCAGAGCTTTATACAGTACATTTCATTTCTTGTATTCTAGCTGTCTCTAAATGAAGGCTAACATTTCATTTGCCTTCCTAACTGCCAAATGAACCTGCATGTGAATGTTAAGGGAATCCTGAACTAGGGATCCTAAGTCCCTTTGTGCTTCAGATTTCTAAAGTCTTTCCCCATTTAGAAAATAGTCTATGCCTCTATTATTCCTACCAAAGTGCATAAATTCACACTTGCCATGTTATATTTGATCTGTCAATTCCTTGCCCCCTCTCTATGCCTGTCCAAGCCTTTCTGCAGCTTCTCCACTTCCTCAACATTACCTGCCCCTCCTCCTATCTTTGTGTAATCTGTTAATTTAACAAGAATGCCCTCAGTTCATTCATCCAGATTGTTAATCTATAACGTGAATAGCTGTGATTTCAAGATGGACCCCCTCCACCACGGAACTCCACTAGTCACTGGTTGCCATTCTGAAAAAGACCCCTTCATCCCCACTGCCTGCCTTCTGCCAGTCAGCCAATCCTCTGTCCATGCCAGTACCTTGCCCCTAACACCATGGGCTCTTATCTGCTTTAGCAGCCTCCTGTGCGGCACCTTGTCAAGGCCTTCTGGAAATCAAAATAGGTCACGTCCACTGGTTCTCCTTTGTCTAACTTGCTCGCTACATCCTCAAAGAACTTTAACAGATTTGGCACCTCCAGGTGAGGCAGTTTCACAAACTGGCACCTGCCTGGTGAGACTGGATACTGTCCTTTTGGTGCTTAGTGGGCAGATCTCAAAGCAGGCATGAGTAGGAACATTATAATTGAGCACAGCAGCTTGAGGTCAGAAAGTGGACAGCCAAGGTCCTCATTCCCAATCACTCCCTAGTTGCTCCGGCTGGAAAGGTGCCAGACTGTGAGTATTCGGGAAGGCAAGATTGGTTTCTGATGACTTACATGGTCAAAGAGCATTAGAATAAACTGTATTCACATCCAGCCACTCTGAGTGGAGGTCCACAATGGCTAAGAACATTGAGCCTATGAAAGAACTTGCATAGTCGATGTGTAATGGTATCCAGGTTTACCTGGCCTTCCTATGAATATGGGGAAGCTGCTGGCAGAAACTTTTGTCCCTGTTGGCACTGTGGGCACTGCCTGCCAATGCAGCTATGTCTGCACCTAATCCTAACCATCAGACATAACTTTTTTCCAATATCTTCATTTGGGAAATACCTGGATGATTCTGGTAGATTTCAGCCAATATCTGGCAGTGACCTTTGCTCGGGACAATCAGTCTTGCTCTGCATAATAATATGTCATCTTCCATGGTGACCCAGTCTCTTTGGGTCACAAAAGATTTCAATTCCGCCTTTGATGGCCCTTTGGTTTCCCCCATCACTCCATCACCAGCTGCTTCAGTTTTGCCAGGACTGGATCTTTCTGTGTTCAAGATTGACTGCATAATAACAATGGCCAGTTTGGTACTGACTACAGCTATCTGTAAATTATAGATGTTTCAAGTCGAATGCGACTTGTCTTTTGAACAATTCTGAATAGTTCTAACATGGTCCAGTTCTGAAGAAGAGTCATACCAGACTCGAAATGTTAACTCTATTTCTCCCTCCACAAATGCTGCCAGATCTGTTGAGTTTCTCCAACATTCTCTGTTCTTAAGTAAGGAAAATTCAAGGCTGCTGCCGATAAATTTTAAGCAGGGTGGTATTTCATTACACAGACTGATGCAGGGAAAAGCAATTCACCAGTTAAAAAGACAAGCAGAATAATTAGTTATTGATCTCCAGACATGGAGTACAAAACCAAGAAAATTATTCAAGATCTTGTACAGGACCTGAGTTGGGCCAGTGTTAGAATACATTGTAAAGTTTTGGGTATCACATTATAGTGAACAGGGAAGATATTTTTTCACTGAAGCTGAGATGAGGGGACAGTTGATACAGATCACCAAGATAGGGATGGATTGTGCTAAGTTAAATAATGACAGATTCTTTCCTATGTTCACCAGAGGTACCAATTTCAAATCACATTAGAAAAAAAGTTGAATGGGAGTCTTGTGATCAGTTACATCAATCTGATTTACATGACTCTTATTACAGTGCATCTCCCCCCAAGTTTCTCTCCAAGTGTTCCAATAGTTTACATTCATAGTAAGATATTTTCCTAACCAGCCTATTCAGAGATGTTATCACATACTTCTAGAGCAGGTGGGTCTCAAACTTGGGCCTCCTGGCTCAGACATAGGGATATTATCACTGCAGCACAATAGCCCTTACTTTTCCTAGTAATCATCAATATAATTATCAATGTCATTATTACCATTATTATTGCTTTCATCGTCATTTCCACCCCAGCCTTCCCCACTCAAAGTCTAGACCACAGAGGTTGAGATGATATGGAACTCTGACTGGACACCCTGATCTGCAGTTCACCACTAGAGTGACTGTGCACCATATCTGGAATATTCAGACTACTCAATACACTGTCTGAGAAATAGCAAGAACTGCAGATGCTGGAGTACGAGACAAAACAGTATGGAGCTGGAGGAACACAGCAGGCCAGGCGTAG